TATTCTATTCTATTCTATTCTATTCTATTCTATTCTATTCTATTCTAATTCTAATTCTAATTCTAATTCTATTCCTTTCTGTTCTGTTCTGTTCTGTTCCATTCCATTCCATTCCATTCCATTCCATTCCAAAAGAGAAGAATCCTCAAGTCTTGTTTAGTAGCAATGGATTACTAACTATCCAACCTGAGGGGCCTATCCTCTAGCACAGCAGCTTCAATTGTTTCATATTTTCTATCCATCTGTTTTTCTTGATTCAGTAAATGGAGTTTACTGTTCTGAACTATATAAATTGGTGCTTTTACTTTTGTCATTAAAATGATGATGTGCCTCCAGCATCTGCTTGTATTGCTGTTTTCCAATATAGGCAACATCTGCTTGCTTGCTTTAGCTAAGCAGCAGCGACCTTCATGCCTTACATGATCCCGCTGGGATTACATACTTTTGGTATATATCCTGGCATTCTTTGCTCATCCTTTCCAAGAAACACATCTCATCTCCCACCATGGTGAAATAGCACAGCAGGAGTTAAGAGGAAATGCCTAAAACAAGTTGATATATAAACAACATTATAATAATCTGCTCTTTCCCTTTATCTAGTTATATTTTACTATTCCTATTTGTTAAATCTGTATCTTACAATTCCTCTGGAGGTCACATACATAGTGTTCTCACCTTTTAAGTTTTCCCCAGAACAGCAATCCTTTGAGGTAGGTTCGATTGTGTGAGTGATTGGCATTACATGAAGAACCAATGCTGAATTAAGAAAAGGAAAACCTGGGTATTAGCCCTGCTTTTGACACATAATCAACTGATTGACTTGGGCTAGCTCTTTTTATTAAAAGCTATAGTACTCTGATGCAATTAAGGGCACTGAGCTACTAACTGGGAGAGTATGAATTGTATCTTAAGCATGAGCTCAGCTAATGACTCTCGGCACTAGGAAGGAGGAGATAGCAAACCACTCCTGAAAATCTTGCCAAGAAAACCTGCAGAGACTTGTCCAGGCATTCACCAGGACTCCACAGACAGCAGCAGCAAAAGTTTCCATAGATGAGGATAAAATTTAACCTGGATCACCTCAATCCCATTCCAACTCCTTAAACACTATAGCATATTGTTATATAGCAATAGCACTTAGACTTAAATACCACTTCACAGCCCTCTCTAAGTGGTTTACAGAGTCAGCATATTGCCCCCAACAAACTGGGTCCTCATTTTACCCACCACGGAAGGACAGAAGTCTGAATCAACCTTGAGCTGATGAGAATCGAACTGCCAAATTGCTGGCAGCCAGCAGTCAGTAGAAGTAGAAGCAGAAGTCACTCCTTTCCTAAGAGGTCTGTAGGGGGTGTGCATAAGCGCACCAACGTGCCTACCATCCCTGTCCTATTGTTTCTTTTATTTTTCTTATATGTATCCATGTATTTATAACTATGTTTTTACTTATA